AATGATACTTTTTACATCATTCTTTGTCCCTAAAACTTTTCCTTGTTCTGAAGTCTGCTTTGTCTGAAATTATTATATCTACTCCAGCTTTCTTTTAGCATGATACATTTTTACCTCCTCTCTTACTTTTATTCTATCTCTGTCTTTATATAAGTGGGTTTCCTATAGACAACATATAGTTGGGTTTTTTTCTCACACATGCTGATAATCTGTTTTTTAATTAGTGTATTTAGACCATTCATATTTAAAGTGATTAATGATATAGTTCAGTTAATATCTTCCATATTTATAACCATTTTCAGTTCTTTTCACCTGTTCTTTGTTTCTTTTGTTCTTTTCTATTTCTTCCTTCTCTGGTTTTAATTATTTAGTGTGATTCCATTTTTTCTCCTCTTTTAACATATCAATTATACTTCTTTTTATAATTTTTTAGTGGTTACTCAAGATTTTATAATATATATTTACAACTAATCTAAGTCTACTTTCAAATACCTGGTTAGTCCAGGTATTTTATAATTGAGTATTCACAATTCCTTTCTCCTGTTCTTTATAAAATTGCTGCCAATTATTAATTTGTGTATACAGTATATCCACAATACCCAATTATTTTGAACAAACACTTTTTTTCAACTTGATCTATTAATAATAAGAAAAATAAAATATTTTAATTTACTTTTACTTATTACTTCTCTGGCATTTTTCCTTTTTTAGGTAGATCTGAGTTTCTAACCTATATCATTTTGTTTCTCCTTGAAAAGCTTCTCTTAAAATTTCTTGCAGGACAAGTCTGCTGGTGATGAATTTCCTGTTTTTTGTTTGTTGGTTGGTCTAAGAAAGTCTTTATTTCTCCTTTATTTTTGATGGATAATTTAACCAGAGATATATTTTCAGTTTGGTGTTTATTCTTAAGTATTTCACTCCTGTCTTTTCTTGTTTGCATGATTTCTGGTTAGAATTCCACTATATTTGTTCATCTTTTTCTTCTATAAGCAGGTTTTTATTTTCTTTGGTTTTATTTTCAGCATTTTATTTTATTTTTGTGTTATTTTTTTCTTTACTTCTCTTTTCCTTTTTAAAAAAATATAGCTTGAATATGATATGCTGTAATGTAGATTTTTTTGGTATTTATCCTTTATGGTGTTTTGATATTCTGTAAGCTTCCTGTATCTATGGTTTGGTGTCTGTCAATAATTTTGAAAAGTTCTCAGTTACTATTCACATATTTTTCCTGCTCCATTTTCTTTCTTCTCCTTCAGTAACTCCAGTTATGCATATGTTATACCATTTGAAATTTGTCAACAGTTTTTCAGTTTTATCATTCATTTTTTCCTTTCTTTTTTCTCTTCTTTTTTTCTAAATATATTGTTTTTGTTTTGTGTTTCATGCCAGGAAGTTTCTGTTGATTAATACTCAAGTTCCCTGATTCTTTCCTTGGTTGTGTGCACTCTAATGATGAGCCTATCAAGTGCATTCATCATTTATGTTACAGTATTTTTTATATTTAGATTTACTTTTGAGTATTTCTTAGAGTTTCCATCTCTCTACTTACACTACTCATCTGTTCTCACATGCTGTCTACCTTTCCCTTTACAGCTCTAAGCATAGTTATTGTGCTTATTTTAAATTCCATGTCTGATCATCCCAACTTTTCTGTGGTATCTGAGTCAAGTTGTGGTCCTTATTTTGCATCTTCAGACTTCATTTATGTATATATATTCTAGTATGCCTTATAATTTTTTGTTAAAAAGTAGACATGATACATTGGATAATCCTGAAGTAAACAGATGTTTAGTGTAGGTTTTATGTTAATTTGGTTAGCAGTGGGTTTCATTTAATGTTTGCTGTAGCTGTAGATGCCAAGGGCTTTAAAATCCACTAGTGTCTTTTGTTTGTTTCATCTTTGGGTTCTCCTGAGAACTCCAACCAACCCTGGATAGGAGTACAGCAACTTAAACCTGAATCGCATGTTAAATGCAGCCACTGAAATGAAAATGATTCTCATAAAGTCTGTGAGAGAGAAGAAGAATCCAAAATAATAAATTTTGAGAATAAATTTGTGTTAATTGACCAAAATAGTACAATCGGAAGCAACTGTATAACAACAATGCAAGCATTTGAAAGAAAAGATTTAGAACATAGTATCTATTATAGACACTATGAATAAGCAGAACATAATCAGGTTGATTCTATTCAAAACTTTAATCCAGGATTTTTAACAAAACCTTTTAGCTTTCAGGATCAAAAGTCTCATTCAAAGCAAAGGCTATATGCACCTCAGAGGTTTATTGCAGCATTATTTACAATAACCAAATTATGCAAGCAGCCCAAGCATCCATTGATAGATGAGTGGATAAAGAAGATACGGGATGTGTGTGTGTGTGTGTATATACCCAAACATATAGGAATATTATTCAGTCATAAAGCAGAATTAACTCTTGCTATTTGCAACATGGATGGAGCTAGAGAGTATAATGCTAAGTGAAATAAGTCAGAGGAAGACAAATACCATATGATTTAACTCATATGTGGAATTTAGGAAAGAAAACAAATGAACAAAGAAAAAAGGCAAACCAAAAATCAGACTCTTAACTATAGAGAACAAACAATGGTTGCTAAAGGGGAGGTGGGTAAGGGGGATAGGTGAAGCAGGTGATGGGGATTAAGAGCACACTTATCTTGATGCATGGAACTATTGGATCACTATATTGCACACCTGAAACTAATATAACACTGTATTTTAACTACACTAGAATTAAAATAAAATAAAAATAAAAACTGATTGGTATCCCCCCCAAAAAAAGCAGCAGAGATTTTCTCTAGAAAATCTAGGTGCTGCAGAAACACTTGGCTGATGTTGCCCCCATAGACCTCTGCAGGAGCAGAGACTTACCGCCTCCCATTTGGCACAGATGTCTCCAGATCATCTCACTTGTTTCTGTAGCTGAATATTCCAGGCATCCAAGTTTGTCTTCTAAACCAATTTATTAAAAATTGGGATTAAAAAACAAACAAACACTTAGTTGGTCTTATAGAACCTGAAGGTCAGATAGAAAGTCAGAATGTTGGTTATATTCCAGTGACATGTCTATTCATTGCACTTTTCCCATGGCTGGTTAGTAATAATTAACCTTAATTAGTCAATAAAAAAGCACACATGAAGGTATTTACATCATTTTTTGGATCTTTGTAATTTTGGATTATTGAAAATAGCCACCTTTTCCAAATTATCTCCATATCATCTTTTTTTCTGTGTCAATTTACTCCATTTTGCAAAAAGTCTGACCTGCTTATGTGAGTCCATTTTGTAGAATTGAGATAGTGTTTCAAGACATGGTTATGACTGCCCCTATGTGGTTTATTTTGGAAGTACTTAAGAAGAAAACAGTAGAGATTGAAATCTTAAGGTTAGTTACATAACCTTGACATTTTGCCTAATCTCAGTAACCCATATCCACTGATACACTTTTCCCCAAGGATAACATCCAGTTAATAGTTGTTTTGTTTTTTTTTCATCTGCATCCTGTGTTGTTGCATGGGAAACACACAGACACACAAATGCACACATAGAAATATATATGTACATGTACATACAAAATCTATATATGTGTGTGTATATGTATACATAAAACTAAATATATGTATATACACATATACACACTTAGAATATATGTGTATCTGTTCACTTCATTTTCCTTATTTATGCAAATGGATTCATATTATGCATACTTTTTTTTTGTACCTTGATTTTATTCTTTTCAATGGTTGTGTAGTTTTCATTTGTGGATATTTCTATTGTGTCCAGTTGTTTGTGTTTTATATTTATTTTGTTTTGTTATTAAAAACTGTACCACTGGTATACTCTAGTGATGATATTATTTTGAATTTTTACAATCATATTAATGATGGGAAGTCCTAGAAGTAACATTCTGGATCAAAGAGTGTGTATATTTAACATTTTGGAACATATTGGCAATTTGTACCCCAACATATTAGTACCAACTCTAATTTTCTTGAATCTGTACCTTTACTAGATCTTCTTGAAATTTAATTTTCTCTATTCTGATTTTTATCCCTTTACAATGAATGCAGTTGTACACTTTTCCATATGTATATTGCGTATCTGTCTTCATTGTTCTGTAAAATTCTTGTTCATACATTAGATATGAATATCCAGATTTCGAAATTTTCTCTGGATTGGTTAGCATTCTAAAATTGTCATTTGTCAGGATAGTTTTTATCTGGAGTTTCTGGAAGAGAAACCTGCTAGCCCTTGTTGCCTGTTCAAGAGCTATGTGTCCCAGGAGTATTAAAGTCGACAGCTTGCTGCCTGGTTGAGATACCATATGATATTTCCCTTGGGGCAAAGTTTTTCTTAATGTGTCATCTCTATAGGTTTCCCCAAAGGCTCCTGAGCCTTATAAGATATCATAGTCAAAGGTGAAACGACAGCTTACTAGCTATAAAGAGTGAAATGCTCACAAATTTCTCTTATTAAGCCCAGTAACTACTTGGCAAAGGCTGAAGGAGGAGAATGGTGGAGTGCCGAGGGCAGGTACTCTGAATCAATATCCTCGTAATTCTGAGAATGTTCCAAAGTTCGTTCAATCACTATTTATTGAATCCCTATTATTTGTAGTCCAGCTACTAATTAATTCTTGCGTGTACAAAATGTACATCGAATAAAAAATACTTGTGCTTTTGCCTGTCAGGCACAATGTGCCATGGGTGTAAATTGAAATGAGAAGACATACTTTAAATTCTAAAGTGGAGAACCCTCCTGGATGGACCTTATCTAAGCAGAGTTTGGAGGGAGGACGGAGACCGTACTCAGTGTGTGAGAAATGGGATGCCAGTGATGTCTCTGTCATTCTCCTGATCAGGTGCCCAGTGGACAAATTACTGGCAAGTTCAGTAACTTCTCAATATCTAGCTATGGTGTTATAGGCCCTCCTCTCATAATTTATCCTCCAGCTCAACTCTGTGCATGTGGTTTCCCACAGTATTCAAAGGCGGAAAGGCATCCTGTGACTGCATTGGAGAAAATGATGGAGTCAAGTTTTGCCGGCCCCCAGTCATTCCCAGAGGTCCCTTCTCCTGACAGAGGAAGCCAGTCTGTCAAACACCACAGGTACAAGTAGCTACTCACGGTGGGGATGGGCACGTTCACACTATGTCTGACGCTGGACAACACCGGCCAACAAATGGCAACCTGATTCAGGAGAGATGATTGTTCTTGCTTCCCCTTAGTTCTCCGTGGAGTGGATGCTCAAGCAACTGACAGCCAGTAAGCCAAAGCTGACAGCAGGCAGCCATGCCCCTGTGAGAAGCCTGAAGGAACTATTAACAACACCCATCAAAGCTGCAGACACAGACCAGTGAATGAAACAATTGCATTCTGAAAAACTATTGAAAACATGATTTTTCCTAGCCTGCCTTATCACTGTCTGCAAATTTAATGACTAATTCTTCCCTAGGCAGCTGATGTGACACACTCCAGGTCTTCCAACATGGTTCTTACACAAAGAAAACTTTTCAGGGGGAGGAAGCTTGGCAGGTGTTCTCCTTGGGATTATAAATCTGTTATTAATGGGGTGGCACTCTTTTGCAAGCTGACCACAGAAATTGGTTCTTTGGGGTAGAAAGCCAAACACAAGATTATCTTATAAATACCGTAACATTCGGAGGCCAAGCAAGTTTTTTAGCATCTTCTAGTCACATGCTGCATTTCATATACAAAAATCTCAAAGTCCGAAGATGCAGTCTTTGTCCTAAACCAAGTGCCAAAGTTTGGGACTGATGTTATGTTTATGTGCATCTGAATGTAATAGCCTCAGTCTTTGTGGAAGTTGTGCAGTGATTTAAGTATCCTTTTCTTAGTGAGAAGTACAGTATTTTAAAATTAAATATATACATATGAAAAGATTAAAATTTCAAAAAAGGAGAAGGTACAAAATAGTAGTTGTCACTTATCATGGTGAGCATCAAGTCATGTATAGAATTGTAGAACCATTATGTTGTATCTCTGAAACAAATATAACATTGCATGTCAACTATATTTAAAAAAAAAAAAAACCTTGAAAAAACAGCCAGTTGCCCCCAACAATAACAGATAAAAATTGTTGACCCTTGGTTTTCACATATCTAGGCAATGTTTTGAAAACCTCCATGACAGAAACATGCATTATACAAGGAAACTATCTTCTTCCTTGACTCTCAGTGAGTCCCCTAAAAAAGGATTTTCTTGATGCTGGCCACATTTACTGGGAGGTTCTCTGTATACTAATCCTCATTATTGGATGGTGATTTTTTTTTTCTCATTCTACGTGAGTAGAGACTGAGATACCAAAGGTTTGCTAAGTTTTTTTTTTTTTTTAATGGTTTAAATATTTTCAACTTGGAATTGAAATATATTTGGCTGTTGGATTATTGCTTTATTTATTAACTACAAGTTTTGGGTGATATCATTTGAGGCATTTACAGAGAGTTTCTTGTTAAAAGAGCATTTTAGTTCACTAGATCTAATGGAAGTTCTTTAATTAGGGAAATAAGTCCAAAATTACCAGCCTTTTATAAGGTGGATATTTTCTCCAAAACAACATTTTCTCCTGCGGATTATAACACATGTTGAAGTGGTGTCCCATCCAGTCGAGTAAAATAATTATGTATAATATTATTCTAGGACTATATTATGCCATCAATGTTTTAAAGTTGAAATAAAAAAGAATTACAGTTTCTAATGTATTTGAGCTGCAAATACCTGACCTTATTCCTTGTCTGTTGACATACCCTCTTCTTAAACTTGGCTTCTACTATGTTTCTAGGAACCACTCACAAATCAAATAAGGACATTTTTAAGAGATCTTCCTTTTTGTTTGGTTCAATGACATTGCAGTATTTGTTGGCATACATTGTGTCCTGATAGATAGGCAAGGGTTGATTTATAAAGCGCTTTTAGAACTTTGTAGATTATAGTTTAATGTATCATAGCTTTTGTTTTGTAAAACATGCAGTAGACTTAAACGTTTTCATGATTGATAACCTGGTCACTGATTTATACATCCTGCAAACTGCTCTATAACTTCCCGAATGCCACTGGGTTAGAAGGCTTAAATAGTTGATTGATCAATAGGTGTAGAACTGTTTTTGAAGATGGGTCACTAGTTCATAGTGGAAGACTTTGTTGTTGTGACAGTTTGGCTAGCTATGAATAATTAATTTCTTTTTTGTGCACTGCAAACATGACTTATTTGGATAACTCATTATAACAAAGCTATTAATTCAAAGCCATTATTTCTCATGTTTAGTTCAAAGGGAAAACAATCCTCTTGCTTTTTAAAGAAAAATCTATTATGTTATGTCATACCTATTACATTACATTTTAGCAATATAACTCTCTTATAGACAGCACATATGTGGGGTTTTTGAATGAAATAAGACCAGGATTTTCGGTGATTACCATGAGCCCCCGAGTTGTCAGGTGAAGAGAAGGAGTCAGGGGAGCTCATTGCACTGAGCCCCTACTCCCTGCCCGGCTCCATGCATAATCTCTCTTTTAGCCCTACTGCAGTCCTATGAAGATACTGAAGCATGATGCTAATACCTTCCTTTGGCACCTCTCTGACCCATAATTAGTTTTTACCTTTTTCTGCCTTGTCCTGTGCACTGAAAGAGCCGCAGGCTCTCTTGTCTGCTGTCAATACAGAACACAGGCAGAAGATGGGAGGATGGGTGGAGACTGAAGTCCTGGTCTTTCTGTGCCCTCCCTCCCTGCTCGCCTCAGCTACATCCCTTGTCCCTCTTCCCGGGGGCCACAGTGCCTGCAAGGTGGTCCTTTCCTTACCACTCCCCTTCCCTCTTCATTCTGATAGTTTCCTCCTCCCCTTGTCCCTTCAGTTACAGTGATATAAACAGCCTCCCCTTGTTACCTGGCCTGACATACAGTAGTGCCCTATGTTGGCCTTTCCCCTCCCCCCCTTAAACACTGAAGACACCTTTGTAAATAGTAAAATCTCCCCAATGACCCAAATTAGAGTACCATCTCTTTCCCTTCAGGACTCTGACTGGTAGAAATATTTCCCCCAGTATCATGCTGCTAGTAATGTACAGACCTGAGATGCACCCTCAGATGCAGCTAATTCTAGGACCAAAGCCTGAGTACCCCCACAGACGCCATAATAGCTCCTGGATAATACAGATAGGTGCTAGAAGGGAGGGGAAAATAGAGCTATTGGAACTCTTTAAACTTGTGGCCTCGGTGACCTAACTAGCAGTCCCATGTTGTCAACATACAAGAAATATTATGATAAAGAATGAAGGTATGATACGTCGCAAGGTATGACCTAGTGTTTGTACAAACTCGAGAAGTTAATGTTGGCTTGAAGAAGGTAAAGTTTGATCATTCAGTTTGCCAAAACCAAGAAAGTGTCTCCTGGCTCTCAAATGTCAGCTTCTCAAACTCTGATCTTAAATATATGAGATGTTTTGTTTTGTATCTACTAAGTAGAAATAACAGTAATGTTGGGAGAGAAAGTTCCAGAACTCCAATTAATGTAGTGACATGGGTAAAATTACTTTGGGAAACTGGTCCCTTTAGAACTTGATAGGTTTGCTGAAATTTTGAAAATGATTTTCACCTTTCTCCATATGGCTTTATTGGTATTTTTAGAGTTAAATGAGAATACAGCAAAAGATTCTAACTTCGCTTGTTATCTGAACACTGCAGAACAAGTTTGACCACATAAACTGGCATCGCATGCAATGTCTACATAGGAACAGAGTTCTCCTTACCAGTCCCCATGGCTGTAGGGTACATTCAGTGGGGTAGAGATGGAAATGGGTATGGAATAGGTAACAAGTCAAATTAGCAATTGATTTTTATAAAGAGTCTAGCTCTTTTGCTTAGCATGATCTATGTAGGAATCTCAATCTCACCTAAGATATATCCCATGTATGCCTTTTGCCCTGTGATGGCATCTGAAAACATGGTTATTTAGGTGTTTGGGTGTATGAGTCAAGGAAAATATATAATCAGATGTTTATTAAAAGCAAATTCAAAAGAAAACCAATTTAGTTTCGCAAGATTGATGAAAATCTGAGGTAGTAAACTTGGAATTTAGCACATATGTTAAGGAGAGAATACCAACTCAAATGAGGTTTATTTATTCTACCACTAACACAAGTGAACTTTTGCCAGTGAATCTCTTCGGAGTTCCTGTGTTTAGTTTTTGTCAGTATCTAATAACAAAGCCAGTTTTATTTTTATTAGAGAGATAGCTACTCTATCCTGGATAATGAGGGTGGCTGAGAATCAGGAGCTTGAGAATTCCTTAAGCCCACCTCTTATTTTGGCTGGAAACCTGTAATTTTTTTAGTCCATTGTGCTCCAAACTAGAAAGCCAGAAACATGGGAACTTCTCTTTGTCTCAGTTCCTGCAAGGGTGAATGGATTCAGCAACTTCTGGTCTCCTCCTAGCAGATATTCTACCGTCATGGATGGAGAGCCTAATCTAGAACTTTGAGTATCTGGAGTGAAAAGGCAGTGTTTGAAAAGTTTGAGCAGCCACATACAAGGTTCGTTCTAGGATCAATATGTTGGTTTTCTTTCATCCCAGCAGGAGTCTCTCCTCTTGCTGCAGCCCAGGGCAAAGGAGTGGTATGCTCCATAGGAATGCCTTCAGGAGAACACCCCCCTCACCCAGAAGTAGGCTGGGTGGCATCGTGGGACCAGCGTATCAGCAACTTGAGGAATCAAGGATCCCAGACCAGGATATGATACCTCGGCAAGGGTAGGTCTTAAAAGCAATGGAATTTAGGGAGGGTGTCGTGAATGTTCAAACTTTCAATTGAGTTATTATGTTCTTTGGGGTTTTCTTCATTGATTTTTGTCATTAATAGTCTATTTATGCTTACTTCTATCTTTGTTCCACAAAAGATAAACTAAAAAGAATAGGTACAATGAAAACAGATATTAGGGAAATGTGAGACGGAAAAATAACACTAGGGAGCAAGTTAAGTGTATAGCTATCTAGGCAGTATATTACATAGTTGCTAAAACAACTGGGGATTTGTCTTTGATTTAAAAGAAAAAGAGATTTCTTAGGAGGACTAACGTGTTCCTTCATTCTTAGGTTTGAAAAACAATTACTCAATTCTCTAATCAATATTGTGGGCAATACCCTCAACAGTAATCTGTAATGTATTTATATATAGTATCTGCTTCTGCCCAGAGTGTTCTTGAACGTGTCTCAGTCAATGTTGACAGCATATTGTCAAAGTACAACTTGCTGAACTCAGATCTCTAGGTTCATTTGTGGTGTAGGTGTGGAAAGATGGGCTTTGGACACCCTAGGGCTGCTGTTCACTCTTGCAGTGCAAAAGGTGCCCTTTCCTCCAAGTGGTTGCAGACCCTCAAGGGCTCATGGCATGGTGAGTGGAGTAGGATGAATTTTAGCCCCCATTCACCTAATTGGCATAAATCACCCAGTCAGACATGGTAGCCCTTCCTTAAACTGACTGGAGTTTAAATCTCATCTTTGAAAAAAATTTTATCTTTTGAACTTAAGTTTTCTCATGTATAAATTGGGCAAAATAATACCACCTTCCTAAGGGTTGTTGGGCAGATTAAAAAAAAATTACATGTGTAAAGGGCTTGTAACTGACACATAGTAAGCAGAAAACTAGTCTGGCATTTATTGTCACAGGAACTATTAGAGAGCTATTGATTTCAAGAGCAATGCAATCAGGGTTTATTCCAGAAATTTCAGGAATCCGTTCTCTCACTCAAGCCAGGTTCTTGTTGCATCTGTTTTTTTATCACTCTGGATAAGGCAGTCCAGGTTTCTCTGCTGCTTTGGCCTGGCTGATCTTTCCAGACTGTCTATATCAAACTGAGGGCCAAAGCAGTTAGGAGACATCTATCACAGAGCCTTACCTTTTCCTTTTCTTCTTGGCAAGTTATACATACAGCAATGCCCTGTCTGACAAAACTCAGCAACAGATTTCTTCAGAAAGAAATTTGTAATTTTGAAGCAATTCCAAACGGGCTGTAAAATACTTTTGGTACAGATCTGGGGTGACAGTTTGTAAATTCAACATAACAACCAGGTTGTCCAAAATGTATAATGCAAGTCAAGAAGCAGTTTGCATATTTCTTTGCCTTATATCTAGAAAAGGGGCTTGCATTTAGCCTCTAATTATAATTAATCATGTTTCATCATTTCTTTTCTTCTTAAATTGCTAAGCACGGATAATGATTCTTAAATCACTAATAATGTCTGTTACTTAGGAATATATATACGGGTGAGAACGAGTGAAGGGAAATCAAGTTCGGAGATTTTGTGGGTGGGGAGAGAACCCAGCCCATGCTGTCTTTCTTTTCATTGGGTACTGTTATGGCTCTCATCCCATATGTTAAGGATGCTCTGAGCCTGTGCCGGGCATAGGCTTGAACCCTACATACATGAATCTTCAGAGGCTCAGAGATTTCCATGCATGTTCAGGCACTGCTTTGTCTTTTACCTCCTGGGAGACTTACACTTATTGTCTGCATAGTGGTAGTTTTGTTTTGGTTCAACCATCATTGGGTTTGGAATATTCTCTCCAGCTGGCTGGCCACGTGTATTTTCCCGTGTGTGATATGCACCCGATGTTGATAAATGGTGACTCTAAGTCACTGTGTGCTCAGCACGATGAATCTCAGGGAGCAATCTCATTCTCAGTTCTTAAAAACAGCAATTTTCCACTCCTGGGGGACTGACCATCTCTCCAGACTGGAAATGGGATTGGTAATAGAATTTCACAGCTAAAGGCCCTCTTCAAATCTGGCCCTAGCCCCGAGGGGGAGTGAATGAATTTTCGAGAGCTATCAGCCATCTGCTGCTTGTTTATCAAGCGTGTGGGCGCTGTCTGCTAGTTAGGCTCCTGGTGTATAGGACTTCTCTTCTTGGCACTTACGTCAGCCCAGCTTGAACCCAGCACATATCATAGGGAGGTCTGATGAAGGAATGAGATGAAGAGGAGATTCTTCAGGAGATTTACCCCCAAATGATAGACCTGGGACCACCATGGCAATGGCTTACAGAGCTCTGAACTAGGTTCTGTCAGGCAAATCAAACTTATCTCTTCATATGCTAGACAGAAAGAAATGGAATCACAGAAGTAGATGGCCACCTTCAAAGTAGAAGGGATCCAAAGTAGAAGGGATCCAAACTGAATACCTACCTCACTTAGCTAGCAACTTTACAGACAAATGATCCTTTAAGAAGTTTAAAAATGAACATACTAAGAATAGCAGAGTTTAAATGGCTAACCTAAGGTGGCATATCCCATGTAAAAGGACCAAGATTGAATACTGGCCTTTCTGACTAAATGAACCACTAAGCCGGGAAAGAAATGTGAAGAAAATCACAGTCATGGATGATGACATATAAATGGAATAGCTAAGTGTATGGCTTTGGAGGGAAAAGTGGATCTCTTCAATTTAGTCAGTTGATTTCAAGGCCATGCACACCAGGAACTGAGGCTCGGAGTCCCCTGCAGAAACACAAATTCCTTGGCCGAATCCCTGGGAACCAAACCAAGTGACTACTGTTGGAATTTCTCATCTTTAAAAGGATGCTTTGACTCCCCTAGTTACAGATGAAATGCACTTGTGATTTCTTTGGTGAGAGATCAGAGGAAGGGCAGCTCAAACTGGTATTTTATAGTCACTGAATGACAAGCTATGGATCAAACTTGTGAAAGAGTCAGTGACTCTTAAGGGACACAGAACTCTGAAGTATCTTCTAATCCAGAACCACATTAGAAATTTAGCTCTCGCTTAAACTTCTGGAGAGTAGTATGTAGCTTCTACTCAAATACCAGTCTGGGACCTTTCACTCTGAGAAGGAAGAGAGGACTCTGGTTGAATAGCACAGAGACATTACTTAGGTTAGTCCCCAGAGGAATTCCCCTAGGTCAGTATTCCCACCTGTTTTAATTGACGAGAAAATATAAGTGAGGCTGCCATTTGTCTAAGATTCCAGAGCTTGTAATGGCATTGGGACTTAAAATCATGTCTGATATAAAACAAAATCACATTTTTGGAGAGTTCTAATTGTTTGAAGTCCTCTCCATGTTATAGTAACATTCTAGATTTCAGTTATTGCCAGCCATGTGTCCCATACCTGACTTGCAAGATGACACATAAGCTAATTGCAATTCCTCTTTCTCACCCAAGTCCGTAATTCAGAAGACTGCCCCACGTTTGGTTTGAATTGCCTTTGATTACTTCGTCATCATGCCAAGGTAGTCATGAGGCTACAATTTACTAAGTCCCCTGAGATACTTATGCCTTTACCCAACAGTTTTACAAGGAATATTTAGATGCTGGTATAAGAATGTGCACCTGTCACCATCACATTTCAACCTGTTAAATTCTAGCCACTGATACACCCAGAAGATATCTATGGGGAATACAATTTTATCCCAATTATATTTCTTGGCTCTGTGCCATTGGTGAATGCGATAAGCAGACATCCTCTATCTTCATGCATATTAGTGATGCTAACAGGTTGACATCTGACCCCTTTTTTCTTGTTGAAATTAAGACATTGAACAGAAACTTTAGGGTCAGATTTTCAACCATATAACGTATAAGTGAAAGGCATAAGATCCCCCAGGGAATTTCCTTGTACATGACTATACAATTAGTCTATAATTGTAAAAAAGATTATACATCCCTAAAAAGGTGTTCTAGTGCACCTTAGGATGCCCACTCATTTCTGGCTTTGATAAGAAGAATCACAATCAAACAATTTGGGATTAGCTTGTTCCTCTGCTGCTTACCAAAGGTATAATTTGAGGGAAGTCACTTGAGTGCCCCTTAATCTAGTTTATTCATCCATCACGTGGTAATAATAATAAATAAGCCACAGGTTTTTAAAAAATTAAATGAGGTAATTAGACATAAGCATGCTTTTAAAAAACATTTTGCAAATGTCAGCTGTTATTATGTGTGAAATGGACATTAACTGGGATATAAGGGGAGCACTTACCTTGAAGATTTGTTCATGTATTCATGCATCCACTTGATCAGGATTTATTGATTGCCAACTCTGTACTAGGCATAGTAAGAGGGGATGGAGCTACAAAGACACCTAAATTTGATCCTCATCTTTTCTCACTGCCTGGTGAAAAGACAGACCCCTAAATTGCTCTGATTGTGTCCTTACAATAAAGACTTCTATTTAGTATGCAAGACACTTCATTGCAATTATTCTTTCCATTTATAAACATGATTGTTATTTGCATTGTAATGCAAGACAAGGGGAATAAGACCTATTCTGTGGAGGGTGGATATGTTTAGATTATGCTTAAATTTTAATGTTTCATTTAACATTTAAATTAAGGACAAACAACTGAGAGAATAGGGACTACTGTTCAGGACCCGAAACCACATTTCTGTGAATCCACAACATACCTGCCCTACTCTCTGGCACTGGAAAATTCACTGGCTCTGAACAGGCAATAAGAGGGCTAGCCAGATTAGGATTCTTGACAAGCTACTGCCATGCACCAACGAACTACCTTACTTGGCTCCAGAAACCATGTGAGGAAAGTTGCTATATTGGTAGAGGCCCAATGGACTTCACTTCATGTTCATCCCTGGAGAGGAATTGTATGCCTCCATCCCATTTGTAGGCTCAGCAATCTGGCAGTGAGGCAGTTTCTATAGAGTAGAGAGCCACTGAAAATCGGATTTGGTCCCTGTAAACTCAGAGTGAAGCAGAAACACTCAGGATGATGATAGCACCTTGATGCTTCATGTCGGGCTTCCTGATCGCCCCCAAGTAGTGTGGCCACGAGTCTACAGACTAAACCCGGGCTGAGAGGGTGGTCACATGGATGGAGTGGAGTAATGCCATTATGGGTTTCCTGTTTGTCACTATGGAAAGGCCACACTTACCTGCTCAATCCCCATTTACTTTGTATTCTAGGATAGAGGTCAGGAAGACTATACCCCACCTGCCTATACAGCTGTGGTGTGTTGAAAGATCCCTGGACTTCAAGTAAGAAGATCTGGGTTTGAGTCTCAGTCTGTCACTTATTTTCTGTGTGACCTTGGGCAAGTCACTTCACCTCTCTGAGCTTCAGTTTACTTCTCTGTTTAACTGGGAGCATATTATCCGTCTCATGGGGTTGCTGTGAGAATTCAGTGAGATGGTGCATGTGGAAGTGCTTTGTTGACTGAATAGTGCTCTAAGGAAGCACAGCAGAAAGCAGAACCTGTAACACCATGTTTCTTTTTCAGGTATTCATCCAGTGGTTTAAAAACCCAACAAAATGCATCCATAAATATGCAACTGCCTTCAAGAGAGACAAATTCCTATTTTAATAGCTTGGATCAAAAGGACCTGATGGGCTATTCATCCACACGGGCCAGTTCTGTGCCCATCATCCCTTCAGTGGGTCTAGAGGAAACCTGCATGCAAATGCCAGGGATTTCTGAAGTCAAAAGCATCAAATGGTACAAAAACTCCTACTCTGCTGATATTGTCAATGTGAGTATTCCAGTCAGCGATTGTCTTATAGCAGAACAACAAGAAGTGAAAATATTGCTAGAAACTGTCCAGGAGCAGATCCGAATTCTGACTGACGCCAGGCGGTCAGAGGACTATGAACTGGCCAGCGTAGAAACCGAGGACAGTGCAAGTGAAAACACAGCCTTTCTCCCCCTGAGTCCCACGGCCAAATCAGAACGCGAGGCACAATTTGTCTTAAGAAAGGAAATACAAAGAGACTCTGCATTGACCAAGTGACTTAAGATGGAGGAATCTGTGCATTCTGTGCTTTGCTCAACAGGAGAAGAGAGGAAATTAAATACAAATTATTTATATGCATTAATTTAAGAGCATCTACTTAGAAGAAACCAAATAGTCTATCACCCTCATATCATACTGTTTTTTAACAAAATATTTTTTTAAAGGGAAAGAAACGTTTCAGGAGGGATAAAGCTTACCACTAAAGCTTTTGGGTAGAATTCTGAATACCATTTCAGTTAGTCCCAACGCCGGCCTCTTTTGGCTCTTAGTAGATGTGGGTGATTCAGACCCTCAGCCCCACCGCACCAGTGTCCTCATAAAAAAGCACTGGCAGTTACCCGGTTTCAAACAGACAAGCTGTATCCTGAGGGTGGACATGCCAGTGAGCGAGTGGCTCTTGCATTTGGCTTGCTGGTCCCAACCCCTAAATTTCTATTCACTCGACAGCCTCCTCACAGGTTATGTCATGTCAACCAATGTAGTGTTTTCTCTTTCATTTTTGAAGAATGACACAAAGACTCTGGAAGGGGGAGGACAGGAGATAGAAGGAGTAATCGGGGGCAGTCTTAGCTACTCTCATGTGCCAGTTCCCTCTGAAATTTGAAGGCACAGAATCTCAGAGGGAGGTGTGAAGGAAATTATTATAGAAAAAGAGATGAGAAAAATCACAATGTCGTGTCACTAAAACCATGCGAATAGAAGTGTTTTTCTTTGAGATTGTGTAGGGGCTCCAAAGGAGCGTTTCTCAGTGTGTGTGTGCCTGTGTGTGTGGGAGTGTGCGCACATGTGTGTGCGCACGCGTGTGTGTATGAATGTGTGCGTGTGCGCACAAACGGGCGTTGGTATGGGCTTGCTCACTCGAGCACAGGTATGCTGTATGCACATGTGTTAATTGTGTGTATGTGTGTGCATGTGTGTGCATATTAAGCTTGCTAAAATTTGTTCTGAAACATCAGGGAATTTAATATTCAGAAAAAAAAATTTCCCTCTCAGATCTGTTCACTTTAAATTTATCCATTAAGTATAAAGTTCAGTTAGTAAGTTCTTAGATCAAGGTCACTTGCATGGCGGGGTCCTATAAAACTCTTGACAATGTCAAGATCATTTTCTGGTGTGAATACTTTTGAGAGGAACAACTATTGGCTCATTAATGGTATCAGTATCACAAGGCAAGTTGAGGATGTGTGTTTATTTTGAATCATGCATACTTAAATGATTTACACAAGCCAGTTATCAAATTGACAGTTACCCTTTGCTTTCTCGTCATCCTCATTACTATTTATTTTGTAGCAAGTCTACTATTCGTGGACCAAGACATTGGCTTCTGTGGTTAATATGGAAAGAATAAATTGTTGAAATCACAAAGCCCAGACTTTTCAGTTCACAGGAAGCCCCCAAAAGAACAGTAAATTGTGTTGTATGTTCATTTGGAATAAAGCAATATTTTTACCACTGCTAAGGTGAACTGAAACTTCTCCTGAAGATTTGTCTGTTTTATTTACCCTTATTTTCATGGGGCATTCAAGGAAATTAGTGTTCACATAACCAGTCTTTTTCCAATCATTGGTGGTGTTTTGTTATGTTTACACTGTTTTAAATAAAAAGGGCACAGTATTTGAAAGTATATAAAAGATTTCTTTTACTGCAGTCTGGGAAGACTTTGGTTAAAATTTCCTTGTGGAAGATTCACATTACATTGAAAGAGAATGTAACTATTTCTGAAATATTGAATATATACAATTCTTATTGAGGTTGTTTCTGTTGAAAATACATTGCAAATTGCTCTTTGAGAACATTCTTTAATAATAGACATAATGTCATGCAGGGGAAGGAAAACATTGTGTTCTTACCAACACTGTTTAGTGGAACTTCAAGGTCTCAGTTGTTGAAAACACTTTGGTAGAAATGCATTTTATATTTAACAAAAGGTTTTTGGTATTCATTAATTGTCCTAGTATACTTATATTATTTTGAATATAGAGGTAATGTTGTTAGAGTCTTAAAAGATCATCACAAATTTTTAATGTCTAGACCACCTAGGCTCCCATTTAAAAATATTGAATCTTTGGGGCAAGGATATATGACACCCATAAGTTGCATATCCAATATGTTACTGTGTTGAAATTTATTACTATTATCAAACATTAACTGGAAGGCCTCACAAGTCTGTTGAAGTCAACTTTGTTTCTTGGGTTTTTCATCACAAGTTTACCTGTGGCACACCTAAAGGATTCATACAGATTTCACCTAATTAGGAGGTGATAATTAGGTGACTCACAGCAGTTACTTTAATATATTTTTCACTCTGAAAAGATTGAATATTATCAATCAAACTTAAGTCCTGATCCAACCCCCACTTTTTTTTTTTTAAAGTAGAACCATATATTATGTGATTATAAACACTCTGGTGCATCGTGAAGAGCATTAATATCAGGCGCACCCACTGGCAGTCTGATGTAAAGTTTAGAGATATAGTTATTTCCTAATTGATAATCAAGACAAAATCTTCCATAAAGAACAGATATTAAAGGTTATTTCAGTGGTCATTTGTCTTCTTTTGGAATATGAAGCTCTCTGAAAAGGGCCCAAGCTCAAAATGCACATTTTTGGGCACCATCTGACAAGTACTGATAACATCAAGACTTTCAAAATTGATCTAACATGGCAAACACCTGGAGCCATTGGTACCTTGTCCTTCTAGCTCATGTGCCTACAGAGAGGTGCTTATTTCTACAAGACACCTTTGATTTTGCTTCATTTTCCTTGTCTTTTTTATGTGAATAGATATTTGGAGATTTGTAACTAAGTAAGTTGCATATTAGTTATTTACTGAAGAGTGAATGTCACTCACTAGTTTTTCACTCTGAATCATTTTCTAATTAGTCTTTTTTTAATACAAGGCATATATTATTCCAAGTTGCCATGGAACACTGTTGTTCAAAATATATGACTAATTTTATGTTAATGAGAAATAATAGAAATGATGTTGGAAAATTGGCATCCAAATTTTCTTTCTGATTTTCCCATGTATGTTATTGAATGCTCTATGTTTTACATTCTAATCCAGTATCTACCTTGCTATGGGCTAAGGACTAAATATTTGTAAATTTATCACATCTCCAATGATTCACATCATTTCTAAGTAACAATAGCAAGGTCTTCTGGAGGAGCAAAAGTGCTGATTTTAAGACTTCACAAATTAATCTCTTTTGATAATAATATCAGACCAACCAAAAAGAGAAAAGTAGGGCCAGGCTGACTTTGAGAGAACGCCCATTGGCTTCCAGATTGAATAACAGCTACAATGTAAGTGAGGCCTCTGGCAACCATGGTGAAGGCTGTCAATAACCAGGTCTCCACCAGAATACGCTTGATGTATGCAGCAGTCATGCACATCCATCTGCTGTATGGTGCTCTAGGAAACCATGGCTCCCTAAGTAAGGGGAGATTCTGGTTCCTTTGATCCCAGCCCTGTAAGCCAGAAAATATCGCCCTGAGACAAGTGCTGTGAAACATTTCCCAAATGAGCATATACTATACTTAGGAACACAGCAGGAGGGGTGGGATTTTTATTTGATCTTTTGGTATCCGGGAAACATTTTATATATAAAGAATACTTTTTTATTATTATTCGATTGTATAGATTCAGTATAGTGTATTTGATGATAGCATATCTCTACTGTGTTTGTACCTTAGTCTTCAGAAATTCAGTCTTCATCCAGGAAAGATCAGCACAATGTTTCTGGGCTGTTCTCAATTTTAGATGTATCCCAATATGTTGTGGGAAATGATGCCTTTAAATAAGCTTTATCTCTTCCTCTTTTATTTTTTCTTTCCCTTTTAAAGAAATAGTGAGGGTGAAGGAAGAAATCCATTCCTTAAGATCCACCTTGTTTTCTTACAATTATCTGTTTTCTACTGTGACTACACACACACACACACACACACACACATCTAAACATATATGTATATATAAAATATATACGTATATTAAATTTAGGTGTTGATTATTTTGTTAGCTTTATTTTTGCTTAATTTGATAAATATTAAAGTGAATGCCAATGAAATGAAATCATTTAGGGATCAGCTGAACCTCCAATGTTTAGGTAACAGAAGCATTTTTCAGTTCTTTCTTTTTCTTAGGTAAGCAGAAATATCCTCGGGTTGGAGAATTCACACGACCCTGGAATAAAATTTCTGCTAGATTATCCCTTAGACATGAAGATTAAACTATGGGTGTATATGATTGCTGTCCCTATAGCATATAATAGTCTCAAATATATTTTTTACAAATATAGACACAAGTTCTCCCAAAGGTGCTACACAGGTACCTTTGGCTTCAAGTGCCCATGAGCTCTAGTGAGGAGTTGAGGTCAAGGCAGAGGGACAAGGGGGAGATATTACATGTTAATATTGGATACCCCAGTGAAGATGTGCAGATGATAGTAGAGGTGACCAGACACCATCTTGATAAAATAGAGAACAGGCTTCTAGTACTTTGAAAACTTTTTTCAGAAACATTGGTTGCATGGGTGTTGTTGCCTATGAAATAATTAATTGTACGATAGCAAACAATTCATGTTGAGAGTCATCTTTGTGAAAGCTCGTAACTTACCTATACATATTAGTAACATCATGACTCCATCTGTCAAATAAGGAGGATTATCTAGTTCATCTTCAATTTCCTTCCAAATTGAATAATACCCTGTTATCCGATCATTCAAACTCAGACTTTACCTGGTCATTTGTCATCCAATCATTTCACAATCCCTTGGAAAGTTAATAGCTATGTCTTGTAAGACTCAACAATTGTTGGAACCTATCAACCTATATATATCTATATGTTACACTTATAATATTCCATTTAATTTCCATAGAGAAATAGGATCACTTTTCTCATTTTTAAAGTAAATTTACCTAGGACAGGTAATTAATAAGAAAGGATGGCCAAGAAAATGCCTAACTTCAAAGCTTGAGCATAAAAATTCACCCTGGATTCTTGGATTAAAATTTGCCACGGATTTTTTTTTTAAAGTGTATCCTTTGTGAATCTTTACCAAAGCCAGAGTAAGGAGTTCTGAG